GGAAAGAGAGGAAATGGAGATAGCATCTCATCAGATCCACCAGCTCAGTCTTTCAGAGACAGGAGATAAACACTATTTTAAAGAGACCCAGAACACATTCAGGCAGAGAAGAGACATAAGTCTCTAAAGACTAGACATCAAATGGCTCAGAAACTCAGTTTTTCAAAAACATTCAAAATAAGAAGGGAGGTTTGTGATTTTGTAGCAGAAAACAACTCTTAAAACATGCCAAAGAAGATTTTTTCTTTGCCAGATTTTAGTTCAGTCTTTTCAAGAGAACAGATTTTGGCTTTGTTGCTTGTCACAGCCTGGCACTGGTTTATAAACATCACTAAGGAATACAAAGCAATGATACAAATTCTGACTGAAGTTTAGTACTGACTACTGAAGTATTTTTAAATCTAATCTTTAACTCATCTACCCATTCCAGCAAGAGAAGATCAGTTCACTGCTTTTAGAGATGTACACCATGTTTTCTTTGAGTCTAGAATTCAGTCTCCTGAAATCTCAATAAGGTGCATGACTTCAGTTAGCATTCTTCCCACCCAAATCCACATGTGCTCACAAAATAAGAACATGATGTTGGGCCTTGTGCCACTGGCAAATGTAGCTAAAGCAGCAGCAGAAAGGGGCAAAACAGGCAAGTGGAGTGAGCTCCTGGTGTTGCATGTCCTGCAGTGAGCAGGTGGCAGGGGACACACACAGAGCAGGACAGGGCAGCCCAGAGCTGTGGCTGGGCACCACAATGGGGAAGTTTTAGGAGAAAAGCATTCAAATTGCATATTTAAAGCAAAATTTATTCTTTCCTGATGAAATGTCATTCGATTCTATTATGTTAAACTCTTTTAAGGTGTATTCCTTGGGAACATATTGATCTCAATCAAATAGAAAGCTAGGTAACAGGCTAAGTATTATCTAGACTTTTAAATATAATTTAGAATGAAGCAGCTGCAGATAAATCTAGGAACAAAACTCCCCTACATTCAAAATAGAGTTTGCTTATTCAAATTTTAAGCCACTTGTGTATTATGTCCAGAGTTTTCAAAACTGGCCTTAAATATTTAGGTATTCAGTGACATCTGAGTAGGTGACATGCTGAGAAAATACCACTCTACATCTAGATTTGAGGTGGAAAAATGACCCACTGCTGACAATGTGGGCAAACAGGAAACCTGCAGATAAGGGTTATGAAAGGGCAGTAAGATTTCAAGACAGATTTAAATCTGTACTTTTACACAACTACTCTTTAGCCTTGTCTCTGCCTAAAAATTTTCAGGACCTGCCCAGAAGCACAAACTGTGACCAATAAGAAGCTTTTGAAAAAAATGTTGGCAACAGCAATGCTAGGACACCAAAGAAAGCAGGATTTTGGTTGTTGGCATTGCTGACAGTTATGTTTCTGTATGATTTCAGGAAGAGTAGACAACACTGAGGAACTTCATAGGAGGAACTTAGAGCCCCTTTGGATGCTGGAGGGTTTTGATGTCCCAGTGAGGTGAAGCAATGCTCCCACACCACATTTAAGACAAAATCAAGGACTCAGCTTTTACCCAGGCTAGGAGCAAAGCAACTTCAGCCCCACTTTGAGCAGCTGCACACCATCATTCTGCATGAGTCCAGGGGACAAGGCACAGGAAAACCTTAAGAAATCCACAACATCACAACACCTTAGCAAGTTTATAAGCAGGGCTTGGTAACATCTTAGCAGTACTCACTGAAACAAACATATCTCAGCCTGCTGCCTCTCACCTGTGAGACCTGCTCTGAATCCACTGAATATTTCCCACCATTTAGGAGCTGTATAGCTGTACTGAAGGAGTGCTGACTCCTGTCTACTCTGCCAACAGTACCTAAGATTTACACCGTGCATCATCTTACTCCACCCTTCTTCCCCCTTGCACACTCAGCTCTGGCACCCTCCTCTGCTGTGGCTGGTGACACCTCTGGATCAGAGGCTGGCAGCCAGCACACGCCTCTGTAACCATCAGGCTGTGCAAGGGGAGAGCTATAAACTCTCTTCTGCTCCATGGGGTGTTAGTCTGGGGACACTGATGTCATCCAACCAGCTCCTGAACGTCACAAATCTTGCTGCAATCCAGTACCTTTAGGATGAGTGCCTCTCTGCCAGGAGTGACAGAAAGCAGCTACTAGCTTCTGAGGGGTGGGCAGCAGAGCCCAGGGGCAGCTGCAGAGACCTCGAGTTCTGAGGCAAGGGGAATGACACTAAAAGCCTTCCTCTGGCTCCCCTTCTGCAGAGGAGAACTGGCTCTCAGTGGGTAAGCAACAAGAGGCGGCAGCACAGACAGACCCTCAGAGCCCTTGGGGGCTCTTCTCTTGCTTAGTCAACAGCTGCAACAGGAGAGCCAGGGATGGCTGTGGAGCTTGGCCAGGTACAGCTGGGGCTCACTTCCACCAGAAGATATGGACAGAATCCAAAACTGCTTCTGTGCAGTAGAAATCTTGAATTTTCCTCTGAATTTTCCTTGAATTTTCCTATGTAGGTGGCATACTCAAGAGCCCTTCATTACCTTTCTTTCCCCTGGCTTTTGGGGCTGCAAATCACTCTCATGGTTTTAAGTTCCTGCCTGCTGCTTTTCAAAACTGAATGAGAAAATTTCACCCAAGAAAGATTGAATTGGAAGCAAGTAACTGACTGTGTGGAGAGGAAGGAAGGACTGACTCCTTTCTCTGCAACACTGTCTTCTTCTAGCTAGCAAGTAACACAGAGACCCTAACCCTATTTTCTTTACTGTTTTACATATTTTTGTGTTGATATTTAATTACCTGTTAGAGATAATTTCCACATTAGGAAAAACAAGCCATGATGTCTGTGTCCAAGCAGAACTTGGGTTGCTCATGTTCATGATTTCAAACATGCCAAATCCATTTACATTTCATAGCTATTCATTCATAACTGACCTTGCACCTAAGTTTCTATGTCAAGCAACACTAACACATGTGCCTCCTAAGAAGATAAATGCCACTTGAGGGTCACGTTTACCTGTGTACCTGTTGTGGTCATCCAAGTATGAAGAGCAGGAAACCCAAGAGCCACTAAAACAAATCAGTTTTTCTTTATGAAATTGTTTTATCAACGTGTAATTGTAAAAAGTAAAAGCACACGGCTGAGCTGTTCCATAAAAGAAAAATCATCTTCCCACAGGATCTCAGCTTTGCTTTAATTAAAGAACGGGCATTTATATTCTGATTAGAGATTTGCAAATACCAAGAGTGGCCACAAAAGAGAATAATGAATAGCTTTTACAGACATTATCTGCATGCCTTTGAAAGAAAATTCATTAGTTTTTGCTTCTGAGAAGCACATTTGCATCCCCCAACATCACTTCATTTAAATTAATCCAGCACCATCCCCCTGAAAATGAAAATGCATCCCCACAACTGTCAACACCTAAAAGTGCTGGAATCTTCTTAAAAATGAGATCTGTATATATTTTCCCTTTCCTCACCAGTAACAAGCAGCAGTTTGAATGTGAGGTACCAGGACCTTGTAGCACCGCCATAAATGGGGTATTTGCATAAGGAATTAGCTTCCAAGAATTGCATATGAATTAGGGGTCACTGTCACTTGCTATTGTAACTTCACAGTAACTGATCATGTGTTAAGTACCTGCTTACCGAATTGCTTCTGAAACTACATTAGCCCTTCTTTAAGCGTCAGGTAAATTGAGGATTTACTGACAAAAGAAAGGTGCTACCATTGTATCTCCCACAGCCTGCATAAAACGCTATTCCACAAATTAGAAACAGCCTCTTTCAAAGCGACAGAAGACAAGTGGTTCAGAGCAGCTTCCTGTGTTATTCTGTTGCATAGTTAAGGTACCTGTATGAAAATGAAGAGGTATTTTTCTGGAGACCTTATTTTCATGGGAGATGTAAGAGAGTTACAAAAGTTTGTGTTGAGCAGAGAAAGAAAAGCCTCTGAAAACACATTAATCTCTTCTATGACTAACAGCAAGGATCAACAGCAGTGCAGCTGCTCTTTCCAGTGGGCTAACAGGAGCTAAGGGATGGAGTATTATGGGCAGCTGAGAAGGAACTTCAACAAACTGTCACTTGTAAGGCACTTATTTTTTAACTAATGAACCAAAAGGCATTAAGACTGCTTTACCTACTTTCTGCATCCCTGTGACTGACAACTCAGCCATCTGAATAAAAGAACAAGACACTGCAGATAACAAAATGCTGGTTATGCATACATCCTGAATTCTGGAAAAGCAAAGAGCACAAATACCTTGACAGGGGACAAGATTTCACCCCATCTGTGCTGAAAGGTTTTGCAGGAAGCGGGGATATGAACTGCTGGTATTAGTTCCAAAATTTTGCTCTTGGACAAGCAATTAAAGACATGCTTAGTTTACAGTATCCAAACAGTTAACAGTGACTTCAATTAGTCTATCAGTATTCTTTAACATTTTCCTAATGTTATTTACCTTTGTAACTAAGTCAGGAAGATAAGGGATGAAGACAAGGGCAGCCATCCTGCCTTGTGTCTCTGGAAGGGCTTATTCATCAGATAAAGGATGAGCCATCAGATGAATACCTTGCTGAGGTACAGACTGCAGGGTGACTGTTTGGGAACCTGGGTGTTTTAAACACTTCACGTAAAGCTGGCCCAAGAGATCACATCAGCAGCACTTTTTAAAAATGTGGTTTTCTTTTCCAGGTAAGAATCTCACTGCTCTCTGAAATCAGCTCCTCAAGAACAACACTCAAGAGTGAGACAGAGTTTGTGAATTCAGAATGGTAATCTTTACAAAGGCTAATAAGCAATCATAAAATTCTGCAGATGTAACACAGGAAACATTCCTTCCAGGCTGCTCTGATCATTAAAGACTTCCAGATAAAAATCAAGACACAGAACTGCCTCTAGAAAGCTCTTCTTTTTCCAGGACATACTAAAAGGCAAATATCACAAATAATTACATATATAATGTAACTACAGCATAATTAAGCATCACCTTGTGACATGCAATATGCAGCCACAGCACTGTGCTCTGCACAGCAGTGAGAGTTTGAGAGCTGAGCACCTCCCTGCAGGGCCACACTGGGCAGATCCACCTCTTGAAGGCATCCTGAGCAGGGCCAGCCAGGACACTGGCACACGTGGAATGGTTTGCACTTGGGTGCTCCTGGCAGGCCAGGACACAGACTGCAGCTCACAGCTCACACTTCTGCCTGCACATGGAAGTGCAACCAGGGATCACCAGAATGGGTGAGGGAGATGGAGCAAGACCCCTGGATGTCGTGGCTCTTTCACAATCAAATGCATGGTGGCCTTGGAGCCAGATAAGGTTTTGGGTCCTACTCCTGCTGCTGGCAGGCTGGTCCAGAACTGTGTCACCAATAGCTGAGGAATCCTAAACTCTTAACCTGAGTACCTTCACAACTGTTTTATGCATCCAGTGCACTTCTGAAGGGCCCTGTTGGCATGACCAGCTCTTCTCCCTCCTCAGTGTTTTATCCTGGATGTATTTAGAACGGACAAGTGTGTGCCATCTCAGCTTTTGTCCTGGTAGGCAAAGAGCCTTGTTAGACAAGTCTTTTCTCATACCATCTTGTTGGGTCCCTTCTGCATCCTGCCCAGTTTACTTTGCATTTCTTTAACAGAAGTGATCAGAACTGCTCTCCACCAAAGATGTTGCAGCCTATATTGATATTTGTCCTCAACTGAGAATACATTCCTAGGAATGTAACATTTTATATTTTCTCCTTACCTCCTCTCAATTTGCAAGCCTCCAAAGGACAACAAATACTTCTGTGTGAATAATAAATCCTCCCACCAATATTCCTCAGCTTCCCATACTGATACCAACTTACATAGCTTCTCTGAGGACAGTAAACCCCAGGTAACCACAGAAAACAAGGCACTTTCTAAAGCTAACAAAGTGCCAGAGCCAGTCTTAGGCAACACTTTCAAGTGATACATTACATCCTATGTCCTGAAACAAGTCCTCTTAATTCATATTTTCTCTGATTTAAGGCTCAACTATAAATTGTATTTCCAGACCTCCTAGCTTAAGAGTTTCTAACTGTAGGGAGAGCACATAATACTGAGAATTTGTTGTAAAGATTACACAGTAAAAAAACATGGACACCAACCATCAGTAGTGCAAGACCCTTCTGGGGCAGGTTTTTGTGAATATGGGATTGGTGGGCTACTTGAATCTGACATGTCTTCATCCTCCTCTTCATCTTCCATTTCAGTAATAGTTTGGTTGGCAGAAAAGTCCAGGTTTCCATTTTGTGAATAGCGATGTACTAACTCTTTATCCAGCTCCTCTACCTTTGGCTTCACATCTGAGAAGAATAAAAAAGAAACCAAGCTTTTCAACAGTGCTTGCATCTATCTCCCTTGAAAACAGCCAGCACACCATTCTTTCTTAACCAGGCCTAAGACTGGGATTTTGTGTCACACAGACTGCTGTGCAGCTGGGTCCTGAAGCACACCCCACCCTCCTCTCCCACCGAAAGCCAGCAGCTGGAATGTGCCACACTTTCATGGTTACCTTCTGGCAGAAAAGGAGGCTGGTCAGGATCCAGGTAGAGCTGGGAGAAGATGGGTCGTGGGACAACACTGCTGCATCTCAGAGAAGCTTCTATGGAGTTGTGGAGAGCTTCTTCAAAGCGGGCAGATTTCAGTTGCCCTGCATATGAATTCCCCATGATCTGAAAGCACAGAGAAAATGGCTGATAAGGGCCCGGGGAAGTACACACACAGGCTGCTCACAAATGAAGAGTGAGGTCTTCTTAACACCCAGCAGGACGGTGATATAAAGTCAGTAAGAAAGTAGGCTATGAAAATAACACCTCTGACTGGTACTGCATGTTCACATTTCTCTCTCAGTCTGGTAGACTGTATCCTCTTGTTTCAATAACAGCTTTTAGCACATTTCCAACACACTGTTCTGCATACACAGCCTGTCAACAGCCTCAAGAACCTGCCTGGTGTAGAATTTAATGAAGGGTAGATAAAATCATTATTATTATTATCTTTTTTAGGATTCTCAGAATAAGCTACAGAAGGGTGCATAACACAGAAAATGAAAAAACATCAAGTTTGGCTTGGTCACTGGTTGCTTAACCATGTGTTTACATGATTTTACTTGTTAGTATGTCATTTGCAGAGAAACAATGTGTAGAGACATCCACTAACATGCATTTTTGTTCTTCTTAATATTAACTGAAATTAGTCAGAAAGTCAGGTCTGTGTCTTCTCTGGGTCTTCACCTCATCTGCAGTGTGACACTGTGACTGACATGTCCTGATCCACCTAGTTCCCATGATCTAATCACACTCTTACCATACAAGATGCAAGTAAAAAGAGAGAAATATTTAACATCCAAACCACGCACAACAAACTCTGTAAAATGTTTTCCTTTTCAATTATGCTTTATATTGCTGTAGTGATAACAGTAGTTGAAATGTCTGCTTGGGCAATTAATATTTCTGTTTACTTCAGTGATGAACTTATGACCCCCATGAAATATTCAAGCACAAACAGACCTGTGGATCATTGCTTCTCCTTGGGTGACATTACACAGGCCACAGACCTATATTTGTGGCCCCAGCACTAGGGTACAGGCTCAGTGAGTGACTCCAGTAACCATTCAGCAGCAGGACAGCCGTGGGAGGCAGGAGCTAAGGGAGACCCACTGAAACATGGATTTTTCCACTTTGCTGGACCACTATACCATAGGACATCTGCTCCAAATGACAGTTTCCAATATTCTGAATACAAGACTGCGTTTTCAGAGAATTTTATTTCAACAGAGATAACTTTTCCCCAGTTAAATCAATAGATAGGAAAGTACACAACCTTACAGCATTATCTTTGCACTTCCCTGCACTAGATGTCACCTAGCCCTAGGACCAGAAAGAGACCTTGGCCAAGAAGATAAGCTAGCATTTAGAAAACCTACAGTTCTAATCCTGCTGTATCAATGGGTTGCTCAAGGTTCTCAGGCCACCTGTAAAGGGCACTAATGATGACAGCCACTCAGAGCAGCATTTGAGATCTACCAGGATGGACAAATATCTATGAGCTAAATATTCCTATACTACTGGAATACACAGGCATGAAGCTTACACAGTTACTCACCTCCAGCATGGGGGAGAGGCTCAGTTCTCTGTTCAGTCAGAGACTTTATACAACTTTGTGAAGCTAATTCCACATCTCTGACTTAGAGAGGCTTTCATTAAAATCTGGGGTAACAGCATTTCCCCTCCTCAGCCAGAGACAACATAAAATCAAGTTCTTAACGTGAGGCATCCAGGTGTTTCAGCAATAAAATTCTTAGGATGAGTAGACTCTCTTTTTCATTCTGTAAGATTTTATTAAATTTGGAAATGGCAGGGAGCATGAACAAACACACAACTACAAAAAGAGTTAGGGAAAAAGTTACGTTGAAACTGGATTAAGGTTGCAGTACACTAAATCCCATCAGGTGCCTTTGAACAAAGAATTGATAAAAAGCAGTTAAATGACAAATTCTGTTCTTACTGAAATCAATGAGGACATTTCCACACATGTCAGTGAAATCATGACAAACTATGCTGTCATTAAATTGAATACTTTAGTCAAAATACCATAACAAAAATGAACCAATCTTTAAGAGTCAGAAAATCCCACAGCACATCAGCTGCCTGGAGTCTGTGCATCCTCCACTGTCTCTGCAATCTGTGTGTCATACACAGCCTGCCCCAAGTGTTTTCGTTTTGATGGGGAACTATGAATAGCATGCACTCTGCAAAAACACTGGCCAGCCAAGGCTACTTCATCTGCCTCCCTGGCACCTACACAGAGACACAGAGACAGCTGCCTGTGGATGGCGACTGCTGCAGATTCACCTGGGAAGGCTGGTTGGTATTACTGGAGGACAGGTCTAGCCTGCCGAGGGAAAACAGCACTGCAGCTGGCAAGCCCGAGTGGAGGAGAGGAGAGCTTAGGAGCTGGAGCTGCTGTGAGCAGAGGTCCCTGCAGCAGGGAGACTGGGGGAATGCGCTCCTGCAGGATGGGGCAGGTGGAGGCACCACAGAAGGGAACGGCCGAGGGTCGCCCTGGGCTGGGAGCCCCACAGAC